TTGATGCGATACCAATCTTTTTTTTAGGTTTCAAAGTAACGGACCAATTAAAATAGAGATCCACTCATATGTTTCAAAGTTGGGCCGAGAAGAAAAACTTTGATGTATTTGTGGCCGCCAGTGATAAATATCCCTACAAGTCATTGTACTATTATTGAGTCACTAAGAGCCCTCTACTGACTCCATCAATATACACAACATCAGTGTATGACATTGTTAGACGCTGTACAGTACCTCGTCACAGTGATCCCCCTCTGCTATCGGTAATCACACAGTGAAAGAAGGGTACGCAGTTGGTATCCAACTACTCCCGTTGTCATCTCATCAGTGGAAAAGCTTTAAGGCAGCACGCAGAAATCACCGCGTCATTGGCTTTTATAACGTTACCCCGCCGGGTGTGGATATTTCCCTCGTAATTGGTGTTTTCTCGACAGTGAATATCGCTGGACTGACCAAGATGGAGGGGCCTACAATGCGCAACGTCCATAAGGTCCGACACCTCTGCTGATGGAGAAGAGAATTACGTGGAGAGGGGAGTCAATTTGGACGCAATTCTTGTTTTACCACGACTATTTCACCTGTGAATTGGTTAAGACTACAGACTCGGTACACACACTTGGAACTTCGTGAAGTAGAGTTGATCGAGTAGTTAAAAGCCAAACAAAGAAGCGCGTGTAGGAGTTCCGGTACACCGCACGCGATCGTGCACAAACTCTATTGGCACAGATCTCTGCAGCACGAGCACGTAGCTGTTGCAACTGATCACGTGTTTCCGAGGGATCCGTCATCCCTCAATGTCAGGCGAAAATCTGATTGTGAGCTCGAGTAACAGAGATCTCTACAGCGACCCTTCATCATCGAAAACTTTGTTTTTCAAGAAAATGGGGACCGCCGTCCCTTAAAACGATGCTTGGAGCGCTTGCCATCCCTCGAAATCCGGAGATTTACCCTTTTTCTTACAATTGTTGTTCCAAAACCTCGAGCTATTCCAGGAACTACTGTAAGACCTCTAATCATTGTTCCGTATTAGACTTTTTACCAATCATCAAGACCTCCTCCACAATGTATCTTAAATTTGTAGATATATTGTCATCTTTAGTTGTCGTCATTGCACTCCCAGCGCTTACTTACCCATTTAGTTTATGTTTGTCAATTCCGTAATTCCCCCTACCGTACAACAGTTGATTCAATGCCAAGAATTTCATTGCAACCGTTTTGTTTGGGTTTGCACTATACTACAAGTCAGGATATTTATCACCGGCGGCCACAAATACATCAAAGTTTTTCTTCTCGGCCCAACTTTTGAGTTACTAATGTTCACATCGTACATAGGTGGGTGT